GGCTTGGGAGAGAGGGACAGGAAGGGAAGAAGCGTCGGTGAGCGGCTGCGCACGGGGGGAGAGGGAGAGCTCGGCGGCGGTCGATGACGGCTGTGGGATGGTGTGGCCAGAGGCGAGGGAGGCCACCGGCTTATATAGCCCGCGCCGTGTGTACGCGTGGCGGGAGGGGAGGAGTCGTCGCGCCGCCCGTGAGGAATCAATGGCAAGGCTGACCGGCGGCAGCCTTGCCATTGATTCCACGCGGGAAAACGAGGCGTTCCGATGACGACGAGGCGCGCGTCGCTGACTCGGCGGGCCCACGGCTCTCTTGCGCCAAAACCGCTCGCCCCGGCACCCCCGGGCGCCCCCTTGCGCGCCGGCTTCGGCCTGGGTCCGCCGGCGCTGATTTCGGTCCAATCCGGCGAAAAACGGGCTCCTGGGGACGCGACTGGGCTATTTTTTCGGCGCCGGCGCGAAAAAATCGCCTGAGGGGGGGCCGTGTTGGGGGCGCGGCTGAAGATGCTCTAATTTGGTCGATTGATGGAGTATCCACAACTTGTCCTTTGGAGGCATCACTTTCACATGTGTCTATATTACCATGTGTCACTTCAAAATGTGTAGAGTATTCCACGCATGTATATTATATTTGTATATGACAGGAGACCCCGGACTTGGTAGCTTTGTTGACTAGCACACTTGGTGGACTTCTAAGTATACCTGCCCCTTGCCGGCCTTCACCTTAACCGCATAGTAGACGGCTTATGTGTGTTGTATAAGAGTTGCACACAAGGGTATCTAGCCATGAAGGGTGGTGTCGTCGTGCTTCTGGGCCTTGTGGTCGTCGGCGCTGTCGCCACCGACGCCAGGGCGGCCGGGCTGCCGGTGGTGCCGGCGATGTTTGTGCTGGGGGCCTCGACGCTGGACGTGGGCAACAACAACCACCTGCCGGGGAAGGACGTGCCCAGGGCCGACCACCCCTTCTACGGCATCGACTTCCCCGGCGGTGCCCGGGCAACCGGGAGGTTCAGCAACGGCTACAACATCGCCGACTTCGTCGGTACGTCGATCACAACGTCGCCTAAGAGATCGTGTGTTAGCTTGATCGATGTATGTATATATGCAGCGAGGCAGCTAGGGTTCGAGAGGAGCCCTCTTGCCTATCTTGAGCTGAAATCACGCAACTACCTCATCCCCAGCGCTCTCAAGAGAGGAGTGAACTACGCTTCCGCCGGTGCTGGGATCCTCGACTCCACTGTAAGCCACTTTTTATTGGAGAATTTTGAGGATTTGCCCCATGTTTGCTTACACTTTGAGGATTTGCCATCCTTTTGCGGGCAACTGATCATTCGCCACAAGTTTGCTAGAAACTTGATAATTGGCCCCTGACAAGACGGCCCCACCGTGATATGTCCCAACTACCCCCGTGTTGACAAAACTGAGAGACAGCCAGCCCCCACTCGTTCCCGAATTTCTTATCACGCCTGACGTGCACGACGGCGCAGGCACTTGTTTTTTGTGAAGTTGTGTCGCTCGCCCATCCGCTGGTGCTCCATGGAACCGACAGCGAACTTGTAAGCTACTCCCTCCGTCCCATAATATAAGAACGTTTTTGACACTTAGTGTCAAAAAAAAACGTTCTTATATTATGGGACGGAGGGAGTACGTCGCAGCCCAACCGTTGTTGTTCCGCTACCAGCTCCCTGTTGAGCCACCCTGCTCCACCAACCCCTGCTGCTCCGGCCACCAGCTCCCCCTAGCCACCGCTACTACGCCAGCTCACCTCTCCCTTCCTCTTTGGGCGTCTGCCCTGTACGGACACGGGCGACGAGTGGGACTGATGGTCAAGAAGGTGCGTTGTGTTCCAAGACCTCTTATATAATGTGAGGGCAGAACACGATGTAAACCCATGTCAACATAGTGAGGGATGGCCGGTGTGTGGCATTGCAGTGTTATCATGGGAAGGAGCGCTCATAGTCAGCCCCAGGTATGTAGCGGATGTTTGGTGAACCTAGTTAACAAATCTCGGTGTCGTACCTCGTGTGATTGCTTGTTCTTCAATGAATTTTCTACACGTCTCGGATTAATTCTACTCCCGCCTTTCCGGTTTATAGGGCTTGAACCTAAAATCTCGTCAACCAATATAGATGGTGAGTGAAGGAATGCATCTCATAATTTACAAAATTACTCCAATTTTAATCTGTATTAATTACAGTGTATACATGGATGACCACTAAATGAGTTGGAATGGTTACATGCATTAGTTGGCTTCTTTTAATCCTTCCATGCATAAATTTAATTGTGCATATCTGTATAGAAAGTCAAACATTTTCAAAACTAGTCTCTGGGTTCATAAATGTGTGACTGGCGTGAATGCCAAATGTTTTTTTTCTTGAATATAGGCTGGGAAAATATTGCACTCCTCATGCCATTGCCGTGGCTGCCTGGGGCCCAGTTCTGCCTTTGGCAATAATGGTTTCTTTGGCTCTAGTAAAATTTACAAAATCTTACAATGGTTGATGGAAAATAATTTCCAAGACAAATCTATGCATGTGATTTTCGAAGTTGGCAATCTAAATATCTAGTGACACGGAGTACTCCATATTCTCAGCTAAATTCACTTAGGACCTCTTCGATTCAAAGAATTATCTAAGAAAATCAGTACGGATTTTTCCTATGTTGCCCGTTTGATTTGTAGGATCAAATCCAGCTGGGATTATTTTCTGGAGTTCTCTTGTACTAGCATTGAAATTTTAACATTCACTCAATCTCTTGGAAAGAATTTTCTTTGTTTTTTCTATGAAATAATCAAACAAACCGAAATCATGTAGGGCTCATCTAACCCTAACATTGGAATCCTACGTTTTTTTTTCTGTTCCTATGTTTTTAATCATGTGAATCAAAGAGGCCCTTAGGATAGTGATCTCCCAAACTGCACGCTATCATTGGATGTCCGTGGGAGAGGGAGCTAGAAGGTGGGATCATGGCATGCGCACAACGATTACTAATTACCAATGCAGTTTCTGCAACTCAAATAATCTGCTAACCATGCATATGTTTTGCATGCAGAACGTAGGAAAGAACATCCCATTGTCGAAGCAGGTGCGCTACTTCGCGTCCACCAAGGCTGAGATGGAGACTGCATGGGGCAGACAGGAGGTCTCCAAGCTACTTGCTAGCTCCTTCTTCCTCCTCAGCATCGGCAACAATGACCTCCTACAGTCGACACCAAAGTCTCATGCTGATGTCGTCGCACTCTACACCACCCTCGTCTCGAACTACTCAGCCGCCATTACGGACCTCTACGGGATGGGTGCGAGAAAGTTCGGGATCATCAACGCTGGTCCGGTGGGTTGTTTTCCGCGGGTGCGCTTGCTGAGTGCGACAGGGGCATGCCACGATGGCCTGAACCGCCTCGCTTTAGGGCTTGCCGCCACATTCAAGTCAGGTCTCGCCACCGCCCTCACCCCGAACAGGCTGCCCGGCCTCAAGTACTCCCTCGCCGACTCCTTCGCTAGCTCATGGGCCATCTTCGACAACCCCCAAGAGAGCGGGTTTCAGAACGGTGATAGCGCATGTTGCGGCAGTGGTAGGCTGGGCGCAGAGGGTGACTGCAACAGAAACGCAACATTGTGCAGCGACCGCGATGCCTATGCTTTCTGGGACTACGTGCACCCCAGCCAGCGGGCCGCCGAGTTGGGTGCCCAGGCACTCTTCGACGATGGCCCGACCCAAATCACCGCACCCATCAGTTTCAAGCAGCTGGCCTACGAGAAATGATTGGTTGGTTCCCTATAACAATATGCGGTTTATTCTCCTGATTTCTAGTGATTCTAAATTTCATTGTAAATTGTAGTCATTTTTCTATCCTCTCATTATAGTATATCTTTTTCTTGAGCTGGGTCATTATAGGATATCTCTATAGGCATGGTTTTGAGACACTTCAAGTAATGCACATTCTGGGTGTGTTCGTCTCCCAGAAAAAGAGATGTGCGAGAATAAAGATTTTTTATTTTGACATGGAGAAAGATATAACTGAGATACTCTGTTAAGATTGTGGGTCTAGCATGTTGGAAAAACTTAGCTATGAACTTCTTATATGTATGGTCGTGAACTTATACAAATAGATATGTATTCGGCCGCATTTCAATGTTTCTATTGTAGTACTGATTCGGGATTTGGTATTGCCATGCCTTCATTCGATTGTTTGGTTGGAAACAAAAATAGCAGAAGGAAATGGAATTGAATACAGAAGCATTTTCTCTCGCATGAACCCTTCCCTCCTGCAACACTGAGCACTCCCGCTCTAATTTCACCACATTTCCTCCCATCCCACAAAAGATACTGCTTCCTCTCGCCTTTCCCTCGCGGCCATGAGAAGGAAGCCAAGGAGACAAGGGGGAGGTGGTGCCAAGCAAAGCTCCACCAAGGCGCAAGTATCCTCCTTCCCCCCACCCTCTTCCTCCTCTTCTTTCTTCGGCATCCCCAACCCCCTCTGTCGCGCATCCAACCCCTTCCACATGCGCTCACACCACAGCTGCCCCATGCTATCCTCCTCTATCTCAGGCATCCTCAGCCGCACCCAGCCCGCTTTGCTGGTGCGGCCACCAATTATCCCCCTCTGCCGCTAACCCAGCCACCTTTGCCGGCGCGGCCACCATTTCTTTCCCTCATCATCTCCCCTTCTCCATGTTACCTTGCCGCCCTCCCCCATCATATAGATAAGAATAGGCATGCAAATATCAAGTTGTGAATACAAATGTACAAATTGTAGAAGTTTGAAACATATTTAAAATACATCTCTAACATACTTTCATTATATATTAAAACTGTTCTGTTTATCCAAAGGTTTCTGAGATATTGTTACATCTGTGTCAATTATGAAAAGTACAAAACATCAGTTTAATCATAGGCACTCCAACATTTATAACATGAGGTATGATCTCCTAGTTTTCTATGGGGAAAATGAATTATATTCATGGAATTAGTTTTGCTTAGTTACACCATTTTATGAACTCATTTGTTACCATTTTCTCTTTTTTTGACTTTCTTTTCAACATCGATTTACTCTTTAGAATGATGCTCTGTTACATGGCAACATGCATTTTCTAAGAACGGTCATGTATGAAAAGAAACAACTGACAGGTTTTTGCATGTGAAATGAAGGATTAATTTGTAGTTTGTTTGCACCAGAAACACATAACCATAGATGTTTTATGTTAAAGCACTTCCCCACTATCCAAATAACTGAAGGAAATATGCCCTAGAGGCAATAATAAAGTTATTATTTATTTCCTTATATCATGATAAATGTTTATTATTCATGCTAGAATTGTATTAACCGGAAACATGATACATGTGTGAATACATAGACAAACAGAGTGTCACTAGTATGCCTCTACTTGACTAGCTCGTTGATCAAAGATGGTTATGTTTCCTAGCCATGGACAAAGAGTTGTTATTTGATTAACGGGATCACATCATTAGGAGAATGATGTGATTGACTTGACCCATTCCGTTAGCTTAGCACTTGATCGTTTAGTATGTTGCTATTGCTTTCTTCATGACTTATACATGTTCCTATGACTATGAGATTATGCAACTCCCATTTACCGGAGGAACACTTTGTGTGCTACCAAACGTCACAACGTAACTGGGTGATTATAAAGGTGCTCTACAGGTGTCTCCGAAAGGTACTTGTTGGGTTGGCGTATTTCAAGATTAGGATTTGTCACTCCGATTGTCAGAGAGGTATCTCTGGGCCCACTCAGTAATGCACATCACTATAAGCCTTGCAAGCATTGCAGCTAATGAGTTAGTTGTGGGATGATGTATTACGGAACGAGTAAAGAGACTTGCCGGTAACGAGATTGAACTAGGTATTGAGATACCGACGATCGAATCTCGCGCAAGTAACATACCGATGACAAAGGGAACAATGTATGTTGTTATGCGATTTGACCGATAAACAACTTCGTAGAATATATGGGAGCCAATATGACCATCCAGGTTCTGCTATTGCTTATTGACAGGAGATGTGTCTCGGTCATGTCTACATAGTTCTCGAACCCGTAGGGTCCGCACGCTTAAAGTTCGATGACGGTTATATTATGAGTTTATATGTTTTGATGTACCGAAGGTAGTTCAGAGTCCCGGATGTGATCACGGACATGACGAGGAGTGTCAAAATGGTCAAGACGTAAAGATCGATATATTGGACGACTATATTTGGACACCGGAATGGTTCCGGGTGAGAATGGGATAATACCGGAGCACTGGGAGGTTATGGGAACCCCCCGGGAGGTATATGCGCCTTAATGGGCTTTAGTTGAAAGGAGGGGAAAGGAGCAAGCGAGCCCCCCCCCCAAGCCCAATCTGAATTGGGAGGGGGGCCGGCCCCCCCTTTCCTTCCTCCCTCCTTCCTCTTCCTTCCCTCTCCCTCTCCAAGTAGGAAAAGGAGGAGTCCTACTCCCGGTGGGAGTAGGACTCCCCCCTTGGGCGCGCCTCCTCCCCTTGGCCGGCCCTCTCTTCCCCTCCTTTATATACGGAGGAGGGGGGCACCCCAAAGACACAACAATTGATCCCTTGTATCTCTTAGCCATGTGTGGTGCCCCTCTCCACCATAATCCACCTCGATAATATCGTAGTGGTGCTTAGGTGAAGCCCTGCATCGGTAGAACATCATCATCGTCACCACGCCGTCGTGCTGACGGAACTCTCCCTCAAAGCTCGGCTGGATCGGAGTTCGAGGGACGTCATCGAGTTGAACGTGTGCTGAACTCGGAGGTGCCGTGCGTTCGGTACTTGGATCGGTCGGATCGTGAAGACGTACGACTACATCAACCGCGTTGTGCTAACGCTTCCGCTTTCGGTCTACGAGGTACGTGGACACACTCTCCCCTCTTGTTGCTATGCATCACCATGATCTTGCGTGTGCGTAAGGATTTTTTTGAAATTACTACGTTCCCCAACAGTGGCATCCGAGCCAGGTTTTATGCGTTGATATTATATGCACGAGTAGAACACAAGTGAGTTGTGGGCGATACAAGTCATACTGCTTACCAGCATGTCACACTTTGGTTCAGCGGTATTGTTGGATGAAGCGGCCCAGACCGACATTACGCGTACGCTTATGCGAGACTGGTTTTACCGCCATGCTTTGCACAGAGGTGACTAGCGGGTGTCAGTTTCTCCAACTTTAGTTGAACCGAGTGTGGCTACGCCCGGTCCTTGAGAAGGTTAAAACAGCTCTAACTTGACGAACTATCGTTGTGGTTTTTTGCGTAGGTAAGAACGGTTCTTGCTCAGCCCATAGCAGGCACATAAAACTTGCAACAACAAAGTAGAGGACGTCTAACTTGTTTTTGCAGGGCATGTTGTGATGTGATATGGTCAAGACATGATGCTATATTTTATTGTATAAGATGATCATGTTTTGTAACCAAGTTATCGGCAACTGGCAGGAGCCATATGGTTGTCGCTTTATTGTATGCAATGCAAACACCCTGTAATTTCTTTACTTTATCACTAAGCGGTAGCGATAGTCATAGAAGCAATATTTGGCGAGACGACAACAATGATAATATGGAGATCAAGGTGTCGCGCCGGTGACGATGGTGATCATGACGGTGCTTCAGAGATGGAGATCACAAGCACAAGATGATGATGGCCATATCATATCACTTATATTGATTGCATGTGATGTTTATCTTTTTGCATCTTATCTTGCTTTGGTCGACGGTACATTATAAGATGATCTCTCACTAAATTTCAAGATAAAAGTGTTCTCCCTGAGTATGCACCGCTGCCAAAGTTCGTCGTGCCCAGACACCACGTGATGATTGGGTGTGATAAGCTCTACGTCCATCTACAACGGGTGCAAGCCAATTTTTGCACACACAGAATACTCGGGTTAAACTTGACGAGCCTAGCATATGTAGATATGGCATCGGAACACTGAGACCGAAAGGTCGAGCGTGAATCATATAGTAGATATGATCAACATAGTGATGTTCACCATTGAAAGCTACTCCATTTCACGTGATGATCGGTTATGGTTTAGTTGATTTGGATCACATGATCACTTAGATGATTAGAGGGATGTCTATCTAAGTGGGAGTTCTTAAGTAATATGATTAATTGAAATTAAATTTATCATGAACTTAGTACCTGGTAGTATTTTGCATGTCTATGTTTGTTGTAGATAGCTAGCTCATGTTGTTGTTCCGTTGAATTTTAATGCGTTCCTTGAGAAAGCAAAGTTGAAAGATGATGATAGCAATTACACGGACTGGGTCTGTAACTTGAGGATTATCCTCATTGCTACATAGAAGAATTACGTCCTGGAAGCACCGCTAGGTGCGAAACCTGCTGCAGGAGCAACACCAGATGTTATGAATGTCTGGCAGAGCAAAGCTGATGACTACTCGATAGTTCAGTGTGCCATGCTTTACGGCTTAGAACCGGGACTTCAACGACGTTTTGAACGTCATGGAGCATATGAGATGTTCCAGGAGTTGAAGTTAATATTTCAAGCAAATGCCCGGATTAAGAGATATGAAGTGTCCAATAAGTTCTACATCTGCAAGATGGAGGAGAATAGTTCTGTCAGCGAGCATATACTCAGAATGTCTGGGTATAACAATCACTTGATTCAACTGGGAGTTAATCTTCCGGATGATAGCGTCATTGACAGAATTCTTCAACCACTGCCACCAAGCTACAAGAGCTTCATGATGAACTATAACATGCAAGGGATGGATAAGATGATTCCCGAGCTC